AAGACATCAGAGTCAGAGGATGGGGCAGAAGAGGAGGGCAGTGACCTCCGTCGCCATGTCTTCAGCTGCGGAAAGGGCCTGGAGCAATTCAAGACTTTTTTACAGGGAACCCCTGGGGAGAAGCACTTGAGTCTGTGGATGGACATTGAAAGGCTAAAGATCATTATGGATACAGAGAAGAGAAACAGGTATTCTTCGTTATTTTACCGAGCAACTTCTGTGTCTTTATTTCAACTCGCAAACCTACATCCGCCTTTGCTTTTACTGTATGTTCAAGATTTGTGTGTTAAATGAGCTGCTTACTCTCCTAGCTCAGGGGCTCAGATTTTAAACCACAGCATCTTCAAAACTCTGTCTTTGCAGTCTGACGCTGTGTTAATCTGCAGGTTTCTCGCTTCGTGTCTTTCCCGAAAAAAAACCAGACATCTTTATCGCATGAGGAGCCGATACATGCTAAGCAGCGGGCAGAGTTACCTGAACACAGAGCTATTGTCCCGACTGGCCCTGTCACAGGCTTCCTGCTGGATGGAGAAGCACCTGCAGCAAATCCAGCCCAAGATCACTGAGCCTTTGCTACTATACTGGTGAGAAAAGCCTTGTCCACTGGTTCCATTATTTGCAATGTTAGCTATATGGTATCTCTTACCACCAGTGTAACTGAGAGCTGGTAACTAGGAAGCATGTTAGGATGCTGATTGCATTGCTCTGGGGCCTTTTGGTGGTTTTTAAGTGCTTTGCAACGTGTTACTCTGATATCAGTCTTCATTTTTTGTCTGTCCCAGGGGTCCGAGGTTTTGTTTGGCTCACGCATCTCCTAGAGAAAAGGTGGCCGCCAAGCTCAGGCTGTGGCGAGAGCGTCAGTTGCGACCCCCCTTGAATATTGACCCCCACCCACGGACCGTCACCCTGCTGCCTCTCAGGCCCAAGTCCTGTGTGCCCAGGATCGGTCCTCAGGTGCGCCACACCCGCTGGGACCCCGTCGGGAGACCGGCGCTGACCATCAGGACGCTCAGCCGGCATCACTCCAGTGGCCCAAGGCAGGGGCGGCCAGTCCTGCTCCTGGAGGGGTGGTGTGTCTGCAGGGTTTCTAGGTCTCTTAAAAGCAGCAGCGTCTGAAGGGCTGGTTAAACTGGTTAAAAAGCCGTTAAATTGGTCCCATTAAGAGCGTTACTGAGCTGATGGAGCTCGTTAAGAGCCGAATTGGGATGAAAGCCAGCAGACGCTCCGACTCTCCAGGACCAGGACTGCTCACTCCCTGGGCTAGGGCCAGTCGGTGAAGGGTGGGACTACTGCTGGTGATTGGACAAGCATTTAAACTGATTCTATCAGCAGTTTCCTGTGCTACAAGAAAGCCGTGTTAAGAGCAGTCGTTCTAATTAGGAAGACAAGGATGGCAGTGCCAGAGCAGTGAAACTTTGTGCACCTTAAATGTGCAATTAAGGACGGGTGACTTTTGCCAATTGTAGCTTTTCAAACTGTGTGGCCACCAATCAGTGAGCTATTTGTGCATTGTTAAAATAGTATTACTGAGGAGATATTTACTATTTTTTTTACCAAGCAGTAAAAACTGAGTGAAATATTGCAGCAGGAAGGTCATTTCTTCACAATCAAAGTATAAAATGCTTCTGTTTTGTAAGGGTCTTTTGCCATGTTTGCCATGTCTCACTGGCTTTCTTCATGTCTCCTTCATGCCTTTTCTTTGTTATGTGACCAAGTTTTTTTTAATTAATTCTGATCCTTTTTAATAAGTTACAAAGTAAAAAAACAAATCCAAAAGACTGTAGGTACAGATAGCTGAGAATGAACTTTACAGCCTATAACAACTGCGCTGTCTTTCTGTGTTGCGTGTTAGAAGCCCGACCCAGCGAGGTCCTCAGTGAGGTGCAGTCGATCTGAGCTTGTGTCTCCGAAGCCCAGGATAATGCTACCTGCCTCTTTGCAGCCCAGACTGAGCTCCCTTGGGCCTGTGCCCAGTAAAACTGCTCCCACGCTGGCTGGAACGCTCAGGAGGAGGTCAGGAGACGGGAAATGTGATATTTATCAGCTAGAAAACGCATAAAACGGTACCTGATTCAGAACAAGGGAGTCTTACCAGCTACCCAGCAGGGC